CTAGGTTTATTTAATTCAGGCATTTTCTACTGGAAATTTCTGGAAACAAAACGGTGCGGAAAATTATGAGAAAATTTGCAGTATATTTTTTGTATTCTAGGATTTTGGAAGCTAGAAGTGGAGGATTTCGAGAATTGAAAGCAGCAGAATTACTACAGGAAAATATTCACTGGTAAATGATCTACTAATGAGGAATATTCGAAATAATCCCTTCTAATCGGCTGACATCCGAGAATAGAAGAAATAATCAGTATCAGTAGTAATACCCTTAATGCCTCAAAATAATCGGATATTTTCCGATAGCTTCGTTGCCTACATCGGATCAGTTTTGAATCACGAATGGCATCTGCTGGACTTTTCCACTCGGACTTAGACCAATCAGGGTGCAGTTAATAGCATCCCACTGCATTTATAGAATAATGCAGAGGAAAAGAAAACTCTGAAAACTCTGAAGCCCAATTTGGTAATTTGAAATGAAATAATTGACGAAGAATTTAATTAACAATAAGAACAAAGAATATTTTAGAGAAATTTCTCCAAAGATGGTAGGCAGTTGGCTGAGGTGAAGTCAGAGTTTTTAGTGAAGGGTTCAGGACTATTTGAAATCCATCGTTCTGTGGGTTCATTGTTGTCTCTAAATGTACCAACATGATGTATTTGATGCCGACAACACTGGATATCTCTCAAACTAATGGTTCCCCTCTAAAAAGGTGCCCAGATCCTTAATTAGGTGACGGAAACCCATCCACTCAAATACACAACAGCCAGAACGATTTGGTGTACCTGAACTAGACATCATTTCAAATAAATAAAGTTTCCACCTCATCTGCATTGATTTTTATCCAAAACCACTGATTTCTACTAGCATTCAGCAGAATTCTATCCATATGCAGATTCACGCCGCAATCTGCATGACCATCTCACAAAGTATTTTTAAAAAATGAGGAAATCTTCCTCTGTCCCCTGGAGCATGCATCGATCACTCATTTCCTCCGTCACTTTTTATCCATTTTTCATCGTCAACATATGTTCCAGGTGTCCTCCACGACTCCTTGAAGACTCCACTATTCGTCTAAATTTTTCCCAGAGCCAAAATGAAGGCACTCTAGGGTGTTTCAACCCACGTAGATTAAGGGTGAATAATCGTTGGAAAAATTGCCCCCTACCTATCTGTCCCGTGTAATTACTCCCCAGAGGCTCTCTACTTTCTTATCTTACATTGTCTCTATAACTCGTGTGCACTCTCATTTCGTAAGAAAAACATCTCACTCAGTTTCTTCATTACCCAGGTAGAAATAATTCAAATGCACCACTGATTGGTAGTCACTCTTCAAATTCCTCGTTTCTCCACTGGAGACTGGAGACGTGGAGCGACTACTCTACGTTATTCTTTTTCTTATTCCTCTTTCTCCATGGAGTGAGGGTGAAGATGGTATGAAGGGTAGATATCGAGGCAATGGGGTTCTCTAATGAATCCATCGATGGATTCGCAAGCAGGAGAAAACCCAGACTTTCTCTCTCTCTCTCTCTCTCTCGATCTCCTCTCTCTTCTCTCCCCGTCAGTCCTATTGCGAATGAATGAATGAATTTCGCGCGTGCTTCCTACAATAAGTATTGGAATTTCGTAATGGAACCTGTCTGTGAAATATCCGGGGCGTCGCTTTCAGGCGTCACTCCCACTTTGACAATTCAGAAGGTGGCGTTCTGCTCTTTCACACGAATTTCTCATTTTCTTGTATGTTTTTTTCTTTATTTCACCAGTTATTTCATCATTTGCTCGTGAATTATTGCGTTTTATCATCTAAAAGAATTGACTTGGCATTTAATTGTTTCGTCATAATGAATCGTTCTCTTTTTATGAAAAACGAACACTATTTTTGCTTTGCAAACCTTCATGGAAAAAAATAAATACTTGGGTCAAGTATAAAAAATAATTTATTCAAGTATTTTGGGTTTATAAAAATGAGGCTGATTAAATTTTTTTTTTCAATTTTTTCGCTGTTTCCAAATCTAAATTTTCCCGTGTGCGTTCTCCAAGAGTTATTTGTTGAATTCGCAATCCCGAATTACCCGCCACAGAAAATTGCATTACAAGTGAAGAAAACCGCTGGAATTAAAGGAAAATATTTACCCTTCACCCCCTAATTCTTCTGAAATTTCCGTGAAAGTGACGCCTATAGAAATAATAACAGTCCTCCCGCTCGCTCACGTAACTCATAATTTCCCGTAAAATTCAAACGACAAAAAAAAAAAATCCACGGGCGTCAATAAAACCTCGGCATTTCACTCGCGCAATTTTTTCCAAAATATTTCCGCTGTAAATAAGCAATATCAATTAATCCTGACCGATGTGAGCACTTGACACGTGCAATGGGTAAATAAACTCACCGCTCTCTTTGAATTTTTCATCCCCCAAAATTCAATTATCACAGCCCAGTGATCGTTATCCAATGGACATAATCGTAATTATAACAACGTGTGACATTAATCAGAGGGAAAAATTTGAGTGTCATACTGGTGACGAGGATATATCTGGGCGTCACTCTCTCCAATTCGTACCCACCGCCACCCCCTGTTGCCACCCCCTCGTACTCACCCTTGCCCTCGGTTAACGAGGTAATCTCGTTAAATAACGACGTGATCCGAGTGCAAATCCTGTTGCACGGTGCGCGTTACCCTGTACACGGTGCCACTGATTACGAAGCAACCAACCGAACAGTCCTTCATCCCCTCATTCCACCACCCCCTGGCCTTTCATCTGGCTTGCACTTCCGTTTCCTCCATTCAATTGTGCACCAGTGACGTCGTACCGGGCACGCACGTACCGCCCAAAGTGAAGCCCAACTCCAGCCCAACTCCAGCCCAAACTTCTCAAGGCTAACTATTATGAAAATTGAATTATGTTCCACAATAACCACTGATTTCAGGCCATTCTTTTCCTCCCTTTGCCACCCATTTCTCCCGTAACTTTCACCTGGATGAAGCTGATTTTAATTAACGGAGTATGATGGGTACGTGGATCAGTGAGGGTTGGAGGGGATTTTTAATGAGTCATGGAGAATTCTGGAGACAGTTGGTCACAGAGGGAATGTAAGGGAGGATTTAATAATGGTGAGTTTAGGTGGGGCTAGACGACGGGTACACACGGACTTTTCGACGTCTTCAATATCCAAGACTCCAGGCTTTGGCATTGTCTGAAACCAATAGCACAGACCCTTGTATCAGCCTTTGAAGGGTTTTTTATTTTACTTTCTGACCTGGGAATCAGTCTTCAGAGGAACTGGCCGATGTTGCGGACGTTTACCAAATCGATTAATACCGGTTTAAATTACAATCTACTACGCCCACTATATTTTTAATTAAACGAATTGGGATAATTGCGTATGTGACGGTCAGAGAGAGAGAGAGCAATGAGAAATGTAGTTGAATTAACACTTCATTTTGAAATTATCAAGTTCGCAATAGCGAAAATCTACTTGAACCCAGAATTCGATTTTTTTAATCAAACATTTTTCTACGATGTCTCAATTATTTAACAGCTCTTGGTGGATTTGAGAATATTCTTTCAGACGTGTGACGACTGAATAATTAGTATAACGTTTAATTGTTGGCTGCGCAGAGATAAAATATTCTGTCAAAAAATATGACAAAAAGGAAATTGACGAATAATTTTTCTATAAGTCACATGAAGACCTTTCCACTGCTCGGGGTCAAATCATCATTGCTATATCAGCTGTCTGGAAAAAATCATTTATCAAAAGCAAAAAGAAATGGCATTCTAATTATTTATCAGTTTTTCCTGAAAAATCTGGGAAATTGTGGGAACAGTTAATTGCAAAATTTAATCTGTTCCCAGTCACATCAAGATTTCGATTGAATAATTATTTTGAAGGATATCATTGACCAAAATTTTCGTTTACAAAAGAATCGAGAAGTGGCGGCAAGACTTCGAGATTTCTTAAAAATGTGATTTCAAATTCTGGGAGTGATTGCAGTAATTTATTCATTATCTCCGGAGGTTAAAAAATAATTGATTCACCGATCTGGAGTCAGAGATTTTACAGACAAAAATTCACTATTAAACTTACGGGCAATCTTTAAATAAGAGCAGAGCGATTCAAACTTAGACTCTAGACTTTGATAAATTATTTCACTCAGAACCCGCATCACATCACTACCTCCATTAAACAAAGACCAACAACTAGAGCCCCAGTACCATTGCCGCAGGCCTCTTATCACTAATAGACTCTTTGTTCTCAATTCTATTATTTGCTTCATACGAAGGAAGTGACCCGCCACCGTGTCATCAGAAAACAATTAACACTTCACAAACCAAAAATTCAATCCAAAAAATGATCTAAAAATTATGGTAAGATTATTGGGAAATATTTTGTTAATAATTATTCCTTAAATATCCCACGTACAGTCACTATTCCTAGATGACAATTTTTTATTAATAAAATGTTTTCTAATTGTAGTGCATATTCGGCGAATGCTGCTTGACGATAAAGACAAAATACGCGTCACGATTTCAAAGTTAGTAATTCATATAAGAGGATGGTAGGATGAAAAAAGGAAGCGTTTCCCCCGTGTCCGGGACATTCACGATGCAAGACATCGGGCGTCGGGTGAACGGACGAGTTCTATTTCAATTCCACCCAGTTAATTGGAATTGTTTGCCGCAGACACCGCGCCCGGTTGCCGGTTGTGTACCTCGTCCAACACCCATACTACATACCCTCGGTTATCATAGCTGGTTGGAAATTAATTTTCCCTTTCTATCTCATCGTTTTCAGGTATAAAATATGCTCCATAAACATCAGGATAATTGTTTTGCCTTTGTCAACCACCAGCCGAGGACAAATTCCAACTAATTTTCGTATATCCTGAAAAAATTATGAACTGCTGCTCCATCATTTCGATCGAAAACCGATTTTCTGGAATCAATCGAAAAAAAAAAAAATCCTTGCACCTGATATTTTATCAATGACTGGGGAATTTTTATTTCAAATTGTACAGAGAATTTAGCAATATTTTTTGGAATTCAACTTGCGTTTCTCGATGTAGCACAGTATATGTTTCCGAATTCGGTTTGATAAAAAATATATTTATGCTTTCTCATCACGTAATATGCAATAATCCCCGAAATATCTTTGTTGGCAGGTATTCCCATTGAGATTCCTCACATGGGGCACTTTTTCATCCTCAAAACCCTCACCCAAACCATGTGGTAAACTTTTATCACCACGACGCTTGGTTTACCCCTTCAACTCATCCTCTCGACACTCCCCCAACATGCAGACATATATACAAGCGAGTTTTCTTCCTCAGGCTGGAGGACAACGGGACTCATAAATTCAGCAAACGGTGAAAGAGAGTGACTCAGCTGCAGCAGTGAATTAGGGGTAAGTGGAGAATGTTGTATTACGATTGCTCCAGTGATGTCACCGTGAATTGTATAAACTTTCGAAACAATTCCGAAATTTGTTATTTATTGCCCGAGATATTTGTCAGGAGAGTCCCTGAGTGAGATAGAGATAAAGTTTCTTCAGTAACTCAACGGCTAATATTACTTCGATTTCATCCTGTTTGGCCCAATAGTAATGCCGAGCTAAAACCCCATTTTCCTCTATTTTTTCACACATATCGATGAACACGGGAGATCTGAGGGCTTGGATGAACATTCTGAAGCTCGTCGAGTGTCTCATCTTGTCACAGAGGAAAGGGTGGAGCTCCTCTGAAGGAATTAGACTCAATATTTTGTTTATCATAACTATGAAACCACCAGCGGCAATTGTCGACTGCTCCTCTTCAAATTTTGGCAGTGATTTCCATAATTCACGAATTTTGCTGTCCCAATTGTCGACTTGCAATCCCAGATTCTGGAGAATTTTCAGGAACATCCAGGTCTCTGGAATATTCTCCAGCTCTCTCAATATGAATCTCTTTTGATCATTTATGAAACTTCGGGTGTCATCTAGTTGTTTGTCATACTTGAAATAATTGAAGAGAATTTGACGGCTCTCTTCGATGGGGATAAAACGGAGTATATCTCTGAAATCTTCCTCCAGGGAACTGTCATCTTGGTTATCTTGAGTGATGCCTGAATTTTGTGATCCATTATATTTATTTATGAAGACTGACACGAGGTACATGGATGTTATCACTGCGATTGCGATGACAGAATTCATTCCTCGTATTTTAAAATGTTTTTTGTATACTAAAATTTAGTCATGCTTACGCTAACCTCATGTGCTAGTAAACAAACTCAAATTCACTTATGGAACGAAATGAATAACATCAATCACTAGGGAGCTGTTATGAAAATTAGTCCACATGATTTACAGCGCTGCGCATTGATTTATTCATTCAGTTAACACATTACAAATATAAGATAAAAATTTCACAACATTAATCACGCAGAGATGATAAATTCACCGTAGAATTCATGAATCGATGACTCCAGGTGGTGTTGTGATTCCGAAAACCCGAGCGAAAAAATCAGAGATGGCTTGCACGTCGACACCATGAGCTTTGGCCTCATGGAGGAGCTTCTGGAAGTTCTGATTAGCGAAGAGGGTGTTTGTCACAGTCTGGAAATTGGCGGACTTGATGAGGCCGACGAAATCAGCAAAAGCCTTGGAATGCTGTAGTTTGAAGTAGTAGAGTTCTTTGATTTGAGGATAGGGTAGGAGCTCCTTCAATCTGGCAATGAGTCCGGAAACACCAGGCTTTCCAGAGATCAGGGTCTGCACCACGAAGGGATGTTTGTCGTCCAAACCAATGAACTTGTGGAACATTTGAATCAGTTCATAAACGTCAAGACCAGCGGAATCGAGGGTCTCCAGCATTTCCTCGTATTCAGGGATTTTGTCAAGGGCTCTGACGATATCTTTGAACTCCTCAGATCGAAGATATTCAATTGTATCCTTTGTCTCTTGGTCGTGTAAGGTGTATTCGAGAACAGTTTTGACGATTTCATCAACTGGCAGGAGTTCCATGAATTCGGTCAAATCTGAAGTGAGTTCGCTCTCACCGTAGATACTCAGAGGTTTAGGTGGGAAAGGCACTTCTGGAAATCTCAGGCCGAACAATTCCTCTAGGAAAGTGGTGATGTGGTCTATATTAATTCCATGGGCGTGTGCTTGACGCCCAAGTTCAATGAATCTCTTGTTGACCACAAGTCTGTCAACAATTGCCTGCATCTCAGGGGCCTTGAAGCGTTGAATGAATGCTCGGAACTCCTCAGAACTCTTGAGCTTCGCTTCGTAGAATGAATGGATTTTGTCGTATGGAAGAACAGCTCGGATTGCGTTGAGCAGACCTTGAACACCTGAAGTCTCTCCAACTCGTGAGACTGCTGATGTGCTCAGTGGTCGAGGATAGTGTGGAACTCCGAGGAAGTCATTGATTAGATCAATAAGGTTGTAAACACTCAAGCCAGAATCTTGCAGATAATTCAAAAAGTCGTTGATATCTTTTTCTCCCTGGAGTTCTATGAGCAATTTCTTGAATTCATCACTTCTGATGAACTTGGCAGCTTCTTGGACTTCAGCATCATTCATCAAGTAGCTAATTCCGATTTTTGAGATTTCTTCAATCGGCATGAGCATAATAAAGTCATCCAGATCTGATTGTAAGCTGCGGCGTTGACGAGATTCTGGGAAATGAAGACCAAAGATTTTGGAGAGCAAGTTGGCGATTGCCTTGACATCGATTCCAGCTACTTTAGCCCTCTTCAGGATACTCTGGAATTCTTGATTAGCGAAGAGTGTGTCCACAACTACTTGGAATTTTGGCGAGCGGAGCCGTTCGATAAGATTCTTGAACTCTGGAGACTTCTCCAATTTTTCATGGTAAAGTGCCTTGATTTTGTCCACTGGTAGGATAGCTATGATATCATCGATGAGGCCAGAGACACCTCCTGTGATCTTCCTTGCCATCAGATCTGGTTTGATATTCGGAAGACCTATTAGTTTGTGAAGTTCATTGACCAAATCATAGATTTCTAAACCAGATTGATCCAAGTAACGATAGAATGCCAAGACGTCCTCGATTTCCTCAACGTCACTCACTAGCTTCCTGAATTCCGGAGTTTGAATATATTGGACAACATTCTGTACCTGCTGATCATTGGCTAGATAATCGAAAAAGATATTAGCGATTTCCTCCTTAGGCAGCAGGTCAATGAAGTCATGGAGGTCTACGTAAAGACTGCGAGCTATGGTTCTGCTGCTTGCTGGTGGGAACTTTAATCCAAAAATGGTCGACAGAAGGTCTGCTACTTTTTCAAGGTTGATTCCAGCTACTCTGGCAGCTTTTAAGATTTCCTGAAACTCTTTGTTTGCGTAAAGTTTGTCAACAACCGCTTGGAACTTGGGAGAGTGGAGACGTTCGATGAGTTTTTTGAAAGCTGGTGAAGTTGCCATTTTTTCGTAATACAAATCTTTGATTTTGTCAAGGGGTAGGATAGCTTTGATGTCCTGGATCATGCCATTGAGTCCACCAGTGATTCCACGGGAGAGTCCCTGATGGGTTATAGGAGCTAAACCAATGAAATCGTGGAGCTTATTAATTGCATCGTAAATGTTCAAACCAGATTCCTGCAGGTAGTTGTAAAAGTTCTTGACATCATCCATCTCTTCAACGATCTTGACCAATTGCCGGAATTCAGCACTTTGGATATATTCCACAGCTTTTCGGACGTCGTCGTCCTTTTCCATGTATTCCAATACAATTTCCACAATCTCATGGTGGGGAATCAGGGCGATAAAGTCAGCAAGATCATCGTGGAGATCGAATGCATCACGGCGCACTCTATGTCCTGGGAATTTGATTCCGAACATCTTGAAGAGTAAATCGGCTACAAGATCGACATGGATTCCGTGTTCCTTTGCTGTTTTGAGGATGCGAAGGAAAGCTTCATTGGTGAAAAGCCTGTCAATGATAGCCTGGAATTTAGGAGAACTCAGACGTTGAACTAACTCCTTGAATTCTTTGGATGATTCCATTTTCTGGTAGTATAGAGCTTTGAATTTTTCAAGTGGGAGTACAGCTTTGACGTCTGCGATAAGACCAGCAACTCCACCTGTCATCCTTGCTAGAGCCCTACGAGGGACTAATGGAGGAAGATTGATAAACTTGTGAAGCTTGTTGACTACATCATAAACGTTCAAACCAGACGCCTGTAGGTAATTATAGAATGCGAGAACGTCTTCTATGCTCTCGACTTCAGCTACGAGGTTCTTGAACTCCTGAGATTGCACGTATTGAATTACGTGTTGAACTTCTTTGTCATTCTGCACGTACTCAGTCACGATTGGTATCACTTTATCGAGGGGTACGAGGGCCACGAAGTCTTGGAAATCATCAGCGAGGGAGCGTCCACTCCTGGCAAGCCCGGCTTTTGGGAACGTGACACCCAAAATCTTGGAGATGACATCGAACAGGACATCAAAATGGACGTTATGCGCTTTTAGAGTCTTAAAGATGTGCTGAACTTCTTTGTTAGCTGCAAGTGTGTCTACGATAGCTTGGAGTTTTGGGGAGTGAAGGCGGTCAATCAAATTCTTGAATTCCGGTGAAGTCTTCATTTTGTCGTAGTACATGGCCTTGATTTCCTTGAGTGGCAAAAGACTCTTGATGTCTGCCACTAGACCAGCCACTCCACCGGAAATGGCTACTCTACCGACGGGTTTCATCGGTGGAAGTCCAATGACATTGTTCAACTTGTTGACTAAATCTATCACATCAAACCCTGATTCCTGCAGATATTTGACAAACTCAACAACATCTGGGATTCCTTCAATTAGCGTTACCAACTTCTTGAATTCCTCGGTTTTTACGTACTCTACTACTCTTTGAACTTCTTTGTCATGTTGCAGGTACTCCTGGACTATAGGAACGATCTTGTCGAGGGGTAGGAGCGATACGAAGTCATCGAAATCGTCTGTGAGTGATCGAGTCTGGTACAATGGGCTGCTGCTGATCGTGCCTGTCAAGCTGATCACCAGCAAACATGCCAGCGAGAATCTCATCTGTGAAGATTAATTAGCATGATGAGTTGTAATATCGAAGGCTGATGTTTTATCGGCGTTGTTAATGAAAAATTAATCGACCTGATGGCCTGGTGCAATGGGTAACTTCATAATCTCTGAGGTTTACAGTCATGCTCAGATTTGCAAAAACGAGTCGTAAAGATAGTCGGCGCGATGTAGAATAATATTTAAAAAGTAAATCAATAATAATGAAACGTTGATAAATTCTTCCACATTATCATACCACGAAAATGAAAAAAATAAACGCGTGATTTTTTATTTAAAAACTACAATGATGTTTATGCTCACGTCAAAAAAGACATTTATGAGATTCATGAAAACACTTGATCTGTGATTTCAAAACTTTTTTTCAAATACACCACAGATACCCTCCAAATCATGGAGTAATAAAAAAGAAGGATTAGTTAAGCAGTTTGAGTATATGTTGACATCCACTTCACAACGTTATCTCCATTTTTATTATAAATAATGAGGCAGTAATATCGAAGAGCCACTGGTACTTACTGTGAAGCAGCTAAGCGAACGCTGATAATTTTTGCTATGATTACATGTTCTTTTATACTGCTTTCGAATCAACAAAATCAGTTCAACTGACCCCTATCTCCGATTCATCTGATCGATAAGATTATTGCAAGTGGTAATAGGTAACTCAATACCCGATTTCTTTTTATGAATCTAGTACTATTATTAACATCGATGTTCCAAAATAGATAACGTAATCTAATTTCGTTAGAAAAGTAATCCCATAAAAGTCATTAATATTTCATTAATTAAAAGGAGAAACATTAATTGTTATAAATGAGGGAAAACAGTAATAACTGTATAAAAAATATGATATATCACGCTTAATTCAATTATAATTGCACATTAAAATGCGTATTACTAATTTCTATAATGAAAAAGCCTCGAAAAATTATTATTTGAATGTTTTCTCTTAAAAATTCTAATTGTTTACAATTAAAAACATATTTATATATTATATAATTTTCAACATCCCTTAACCACGTATTCCATCTGTACCCATTACTTTATTATTAATAATTAACATTATTATTAAAAAATAGCTTTCTTAAACCACATGGAAACGTAAAATTTATAAATAAATAATCTTGATCTTTAAAGGAGAGATCAGATCAGACAAATCCAAGTACTCATTGATATGAAGCCTCAGGAAAACAAAACCAAACATGAACACTCGGTTTATCGCAATTTCGAAGGAATTTTTTCACGTCTCAAAATTTATTTTTTACTGTGCATCAATCTGTTGTCAAGGAGTGGTTTCTTATCGTCCATCTATCACTGATACGTGAAAAATAAAGGGAAGAGTGGTTCGGGTGGCACATGCATCCATGAATCACGATTCCATTACATTTCGGAAAATTTATAGAGTTCAATGCACTATTTTGGTATCTCTCTTACTGGTGTCTTTATTTTTTGGAAACCGTGGGAGGAAGGCGCATCCAACTTCGTTACAGAACATAGAGATGTGAAAAGGGCGAGTCTGGTTGGAAAGTTTCCATTGGAGGAAGATGGTTCAGGGATCGAACGAGAAAGCAAAGAGCACCGTGTGCTGCGAATAGCCTGTGCCCGCGTAGCCGCTCGATAAATAAGAAGAAGGCCCCGATGTTTCAGCATGTGGCGCTAACTTTTAAAACGAAAGTAAAGGAACTAAGGAGCCTCGTGTGTCCCTCTCTGCTTCCGTAATTTCTCCGTTCTTTCTGCACCTCCAAAGAAGAAAAGCCAAAAAAAGTGAGCGAGTTGCGAAACAGAATGAGAGACTGAGTGCAACCGGAGCTAGACAATACTAATTGAAATTGTTGAAATTTAATAAGTCCAGGAATTAAACTCCATTTCGCATAATCTAATGAAAAAGTCTGATGGGGAGATTTTAACGCCTTGATTGAACGAGCAATCGTCTCACTTTGTCAGGTCCGATCTTATGCTTTCAACTCCTTGTCGCGTTCACCATTCACTATTCCATATTTTCTTAACTTTTATACCGAATATGACCCAGGGCGCAAAATGTTTTAACGCAATTTTACCGGTCTCTGTACCTACTACGTTTCACAGAGGCTGTGGAGCAATGTGAACTCTAATATGAATTCTAGATGATATTGCTATTCGGCTTCATGCTTATGTTATAAAGTTATAACACACCCTGGTACGAAGGTTACACTTCTCCCGAGAATAATCCGAGTAAAAAATTTCATTTTACACCGGACTTATCAATTTTACATAAACACAATTGAACGTGAAATGCATTTTTTCGTATCTCTCGGTCCAATCTTCCTAGACGCAAACCATCACCTATCCCATCAATTATTAACCGATAATTATTGAACCCAGATTCCGAAATCATGTAGACAACACTTTATTTTATTAGTTATTACATATCAGATGTTGAATAAATTGGCAACATGCGTTATTAAATTGAATTTAATAAAATAGTTGTACGACTCAAATATTCGTTTTGCTCTTTTCTACTTTTCAACGAAGAGAATGATTTTCTCCAACACTTGGACAAATTATTTGGGGTTCTCCTTGATTCTCATCCCTCCTCCCATATTGCCCCCCTCCCCCCTTCCCAAGACTTCTAGTATTGGCAATATTATAGCGGCATATGGCGATAACGGCCCCATGGTGTTGCTCCTATCATTACCGGTAATACTCTTCCTTCGTGGTATCCTCTCACGTTTCGAACAAGAAAGAAATAAAGGAACAAAGTGACTTTCAACAAGAGTCATTTAGATTATTAAAGCTATTCAACATTTCCAAAATTTTTATCTCCCTTATTAAATTTTTTTTGTTCACACAATCTACATTGCATTAATTATGTTATCGCAACCTGAAATACGTACAAAGTTCGAAGCTGTGGAATATTCTTAATCAATCTCCTATGAATTCTTGTTGATAACAATTTCATTATCGGAACATCACTTATCGTGTGTAATAGATAGAAAAGAAATTTCTGGAATCGCGGCCTTCGTTATGAATTATGCCCGCGATTTGTTATTGCTCGACGGATGATAACAATCTGAGAGTAAATCGTTTGTTCTTCTTTAGTACTGGGATCATTCTATTTTTGGAGCAAGAAGCCGTTTGAGTTGAGAGAAGCAGGAAAAAAAGGAAAACACTGGCTCGTAACAAATCCGAGGCAAGTAATCGGGGTCGGTACTGGGTTTTACTGCTGAACACTCAACTCTATTGCGATTGGATTTTTGTCTTCTATCTTTTCTCACTGCCGACAATTTCGACCTGGCAAAGTCCTAAGTCGTGTTATTGTGTGAGAGAGAGTGATCAGATATATTATCTATCTGCAAAGGAAAAATGTCGCATTCATCGAATTCGCGCTGAAAAATTCGGCCATTCGCTTTAAAGCACAGATGGATTTTTTTTTTCAAACAGAGACTTCTTGACCTCTCCTTTTTTGTGAAACTCAATAAAGACGTTCTATTTGCTGGAACTAATATTATTATTTTCTATTATGATACCAGAATGCTATTTTAATCTGTGAAATTGGATTTGTTATCTTTTTTAATTTACAATGCGCGGGATTTTCTATAAAATTTCTAGTTTATTCATATATTTATAAGAAAAAAATTAGCATCCAGCTAATAAATTTTCTTTTTTGGAAATGTTGAAAATATTATTTAAATTAGCCTTCGAATTTTCTTGATTAATGAAAATACAGAAATTATAAATTCCGTCTTTATTCTTCAAAACTAGACAAAATCAAAATAATTTTTATCGACTCATCCACAGGTAAAATTTCATGTTTTGAAAATAGACAAACAAGAAATCTGATGGGCTTCACTGATTAAAAAAAGCATGTGTTGAACATGTCATACATTCGGCTTGATAAATTGGAAAAGCACAAAGAATCGGCTCACGTTACATACATTTTTTATAATTTTTTTACTGTCAAAGTCTATGAATATCAAAGAGTTTCAACTCGTCATTGACGGTCATTCTAAAAAAATCCTAAAAAACATCTCTAAAAATTTAATTTGTAGCCATTCAAAATGAGTTGTGTGCGATTTTCAATAGTACGAGCTTTAAAAATTTCCATTGGAACTGCAACGCGATAGAATTTAGATAAAAATGTAGCCAGGGATCTCACAAGGTCTTTACAAGACTGCTAGACTGGTATGTAAGGTCCAAGGCTGAAACGCAATAGTGGGCTGACTTCCTTATCTGGCCAACATTATCAGGTCTTTGAATGGTTTACCTTGCCCTTACGATAACCAGAGGAGGGTCTAATCAGCTTCGAGTCATGCTAACACCATCAGGTCTGTACGATTTCCTGATAGGGATCTTGAAAACGAGACATAAGGTCAACCTTAGCAAGTGAGCCTGATAGTAACTGACCAAGGTCCTGATCGGGAGTGCACCTGGTGAACCTGGTGAACCTGTGGCCCCTATAGTATCATATAGTATCAACGGTATGTGAAACTACGCAGACAAAGATTAGTCTGCAGGTTGGAAATAACGAGGAGCACGGAGGATCCCCAGGAGAATGACTCGGCTGACTAGTGCTCTAACACTGGAATGGTAACATTTGGTATATACCACGGTTATATTTCAACGGGCCATCCTGCTGACGAGTGATGTGGTTGCACAACCCCTCCCAAATCCGTCCCCTTATCAAACACCCCCACCCACAATTCCACCCCCTCGCCACCCCCAGTCACCGCGTGTTTACGCAGTTCCTACAGATGCCATCGTGGCCAGTCCTCTCGAGAGGAGAAAGAGGCCTCAAGCCATTTCGTCTCGACATGTCTCCAAGGGATCACTCTAATTGCCACCCTTCATAATCCATTCAACACTACACCCTCTACTCCAAAACATTTCACTCTTAAAACACTCGAGTCGGCGGTGAAATTCAATTGACACTCTGGGGCATTGGAAGAGGGTTAAACTCTGGGGGAGTAAAAATCCCATAATACAGGCAATTAATAGCATTATGGTGTAATAGAAAAGGAGGTAATTGTAAGATAGTACGAGAAGTTAATGCTGAATAGTTGGTAGATCATCGGTCTGCATCTGCACATATCGCGGGTCTCATTCGTGCTGCATTAGTTGGTTGATAACGAGCAAACTTTCGGCTTCTAGCCACTCGTGCCAAGTAATTAAGTACTGTATTTCTCGAGTTACATTAATTAACGCCAGTGAAGCAACAACTCCCTTCTCATCCATCGTAGACCATAACGTAGACATTCCCGAAAGTCAGTCCTTTTCTCAGATTTCAAAAAGATCCCTTTCACTGAGCACGTTATTTCGCAAAGTTCTCAAAGGCTTCCAACTTAAGTCGTCTTATTTTGGAACAAGAAGGCAGAAAGACGAGCAACGGGGATAAGTG